TGAGCGTGCTAGCAAGGATCAATCAGTCCTTATAGAAATTGTGATTGCCAACCAATTATTAGACGATTGTGTTTTTAGTTCTTTCAGCCTCAATGAAGAGGACTTTTACTGGTGGCTTGACTTAGGAGAAATTAAGAGAAATAACAATTAATATGAAGAATAATGGAAGTATTTCATAAAAATGAAAACTTACAATAGTCCGAACTCAGCCTCGAAGAGGTTTACAACAACAGTCTACTTGAATCTACTTGAGACTACTCCTATGAATTGAAGTGCAGTGCAGATATGTAAAGTGCAGGTATTGAAAGTACAGGAATGTAAAACTGGAAAGTAAAATATGAAATAAAGACTGGTATGTATGATCTGAGTCCTCCTTTTTCCTGGGGGTCTCTCTGTTATTTATACTTGTCAAAGATGACCTTCAAACTGCTCTTCGAACCGTCGAACTGCTCCTCCATGATCTCTGATCATGTTGCCTTAGAAGTAGCTCCATTATGCCACCATTTGCAGTTAGGCTTCCCTCCTGTATTTGAATTTGAATATGAGTAACCGTTGAAGCCACGTCACCTTGCGTTTCTTTTACTGATCCAATGTTGCTCAGACCATGTGAGAACCAATTATCATCACCACGTGTACGATCAGGATTGAAGACTTAAATTATTTTCCAATAATACCCTTATTCTGCCACGTGTCGGATTGTAACTGGCTTTTACAAAATATATAGCTAACAACTATATGTTTGTGAAAAATTAAATTAATCAAATATCGATAGTTATATGAATAAATACGATCAGGATTGGAGACTTAAATTATTTTCCAATAATACCCTTATTCTGCCACGTGTCGGATTGTAACTGGCTTTTACAAAATATATAGCTAACATTACCCCCCGCACTAATATACCCAATACTTGGTGATATTAGTGGACCAAGAAGCTCTTCCCGCGCTTTTGGATCGTGTATGGAATTCATCTCCAGGAAACATAACCGTCACATATTTGATGATTATTTGCATTAACTCCCTTTTGATTCTGTTGGATATCCCAACACCTTAGTATTCGAACAGACCATGGCTAAACCAACTCCCCTTTCTACTGATCAAGCATACGAAGAGTCATTGGATAATGCTGATCCCCCTCGAAAGAACTTCCACGCATGCATTAGCCACCTTTATCCGCCTTTCTATATTCAGGTTATGGATGCCTTTGCAAATTATCAGCCTTTGGACCACGAATATATTGCCCTTAAGACTTCGATTCGACAAACTACAACCATAGATACAAGAAGTTCTTCCTCTGATTCTTCATTGTATTTCGAACAAACTGCTTTCGATCCCTCGATTCAACAATTTGCAGCCATGGATTTAGGAAAAAATTCTGCATGGGATGAGGCTACAACTTCTTCATCTCCTGGGGCCTCTGGCTGGACCAACTGGTCAACACCTGAGACTTATGATTTGAGGGAGCGAATCAATCACCATTTCGTTGAATTCACTGACCCTTTGGAATTTCCTTCCTACGTTCGAAGTACAGTGGTCTATCCTTATGTGCCCATTGACCAACGACGTAGCTTGGAGGAGAACTTGCTTGTGGCTTGGTATACATCTTCTATGCCTACGAAGATGATGCCTGCTATTCGGCGCTCAGAAGAGGCACAAGGGTATAACCCATCATTCTTAGCCAAGAAGGCGAAGATCTGCTCTTCTAATTGGCTTGCTTATATTAATGCCTTTGTCCCTTCCGCTCCCGCGCCATCTCCCATAATGGAAGCATCCACACCTTCTTCTCCATCCTTTGAAGCTGAAGCATCTACATCTTCTTCTTCACTGTTTGAAGCAGAACCATCCACTCCGTCTCCTCCTCCTACTTTGTCCTGGACGGAGAAACTAAGGCTTGCCCTTCCAATGGACAAAGTTTTCCCACCTTACCAACCTCCGTCACCCCTTTCTCCAGCCGAGCGAAAGCAAGCTCAACTTTTGCTCGCGGCTTTCTCCCACCTGCCCTTCAATGTTCTTGAGGATGACATTCCTCTTAAGAACTTTCGATGGGCTTGTGATGTCCTGACTAGGGGTTATGTCCTCAACCCTCTTGCCCAAGCAGAGCTTCATTTGTTTTTGGACCAACTTCCAGTGCTCCTTTATTGGCATCGGAATTCCATGGTCACCATGCAATCTTTAGACCAACTTTCGTCTCTGCGAATTCAGGCCCAGTATGAAGCAGAAAACTTCACCGAAGAATTCGACGACTTCAAGAATAAAGATTCTGCATATTGGGATGATTTGATCGTAGATGAATTGGAACAAAGATTGAGGGAGGAGGCTTTTGAAATAAAGGCTGAAGAGCTCTATTATGAAGTGAGAGCACATCAGCTCATGCAGCCAACTCTTGAAGAAATAGAAGATATAATAAAGAAAGAACAGAAATTCATTGACCATTGTTGGACTAAATTTCATGATCTTGTTATCTATTCTATTCCTTATTTTTATGAACTTGAGTTTGTACCCAAATGGGGTTATTCAATGTAATCTCTTTATCTTTAATACAAACAAAGTTCTTTTGCACTCGCCATTGCTCGACTCTGCTTCCTTTTATATTTTAAAACTAATTTAGAGCTTCGAATTGGACAACCTCATCCTTCGAATTATATATTCAATCATTTTCTTTTAATAATGAAACACTAGAAGGAACCAATCATGTCTTTTTCCAATTCATGGAGTAAAATTGACAATTCTGGCAGATATTGTCTTAGTGCTTCGATTTCAACAACTTTACTCTTCAAAACTAACTGTAACCAATATATGGTCATGGTTGATATAGCCAATCAATTTTAAACTGATCTCTTTGGCTTCGAAGGGTAACTTATGGCAATTCCTTCTTGCACATATAGAAACCAATGATTGGTTTTGGAATGTTTCGAACAGTGCCCCTCTTCCTTAAAGAGTCCTAGGGTTTGCTTTGAATGTTGTCACTTTGACTGATAACCTTCAAACAGGTCTTTAGACTTTTTGAAGTAGACCAATACTTTGAGCATTCAAGCATTTTTAAGCATGTAGTATGCTTCGAAGTCGGCTTCTGCATTTCGAAGCCGTGGTTGTTTGAAATTTTAGCGCCAAAATTTGGCTTCGAAGCGGGCATCAATGTGCTTTTCCCTCCAGAAATTATCGATGTTGAAAGAGATTCCTTGTATTTTGCACGTTTTAGTACTTAACGACTTACGAGATATATTCCCGAACACAAAAGTTATTTAAAAGCTTTTTACTCTGTGCCCTGGAATTGCTTACGCATTCAAACCTCCTTTAGATTTCCATTTCTCTCTACTCCCTTCTATATTTTCCGAAAAAACTCACTATCAATGGCTTCTTCCTCATCAAAAGTTCCGACCATAGAGCGCATAAGCTCATCTGTGGCTTTGAAACGGCTTATTGATGCTGAATGTGAGAAATACAAGGGTGGTGAGAAAAGTGTCATCGATGGGCGTATCTTTATCCCTCGTCGCCATGTGCAGCGAGAGTACGTGCTTGGGCCCATTTTCAAGGAGATCCCTTCTGAGCTTCCCGCCCTATATCCTCGTTTGGAGAATCAATGTCTTCTGTATGAGGGTGGTCTCGACTGGAAAGGTTGGAAAGTCAACCGTCCTCACCGATGCTGGCCCACGATGAGACCAGAGTGGCAAGAATGGTACGACCGGGTTGTCCCTGCTAGGACACTGGACCTTCAAGAACTCTGCCTTCTCGATGTTCTTCGACTATCTAGGGTCACTATCTCAGAAGACCCTTTCCTAATTCCTGCTGCCTTTTGCTTCTGGAATTCTGCTTTTAATTTTTTCCAATTCAGATGTGGGATGGCTCCTACTGTCCTTGACATTTGCCATCTTTTAGGAGTATCCCCTATTGGTACTCCCATTACCCCAGATTTCCCTGATTTAACGGTCTCTTTCCTTCTCCCTTCTTTTACTTCCTCTTATAGTGATTTTGTTCGAGCTGAGAATAAAAAGGAGGGCCCGGTAACTGATAGGGAATTCTTTTCCTTCTTGTTATACTGGCTTTGCAAATTTCTCTTCTGTACTTCTTCCCAAAGAATAATGTCAGAATTTGCTCCTATTGCCAAAGCCTTCGTCTTGCGGAAACGAGTAGCCTTGGCCCCATATATCTTAGGCCATACATATAGAGCTTGCTCTCTCTTTTGTGAAAAACCCTTAGATGCTAACCAAGGGGGGCCATTCCGGATCCTTCAGCTTTGGCTTTTCGCCTACTTCACCGACTTGCAATCCAAATGCCTCAAATTTTCTGGGCCGTTTTCTCTTACCCATGGCATAAGATTGGCCAATGCTTCACTCTATCCCTCTACTTTTTCCTTTTATTTTTCTTTCTTTCATCAGCTACCAGCCACCCCTCCTCTTCATTACTTCCATCCCTTCGAATCCAATATTGGCCCAACTTGGTTGAATAATTTCCTAAGTGACAATCTCTGCACCTTGCCTATTCATAAGGAGATATGGGCTTCTCTTCTAATTCCTCGAGAGATATTCATCGGGACCACCAATCCTAGAGCTTATAAATGTATAGCTGAGCCCTATTGTCCTGCCCAACTTGGTAGACAATTTGGTCTCACACAAGGGGTCCCAATCCCTCTCTGTAGCAACACCAATCTGAGCCTTACTAAGAGGGATTTGAAGGTTCGAAAATCAAGATTAGAAGAGGCAACCTTCAAGTTTATGGATGATTTGGCCAGTTTTGAGTTCACCCCTTTCTCTCCTCAAGGTACTGAATTGAAGAGATATCAAAATTGGTGGGTGAGCAACATGGAGGTTTATTTGGCTATCCCCCCTCAGAACCTATTGGAGGTGCTGGATGTGCCCAAGCCCAAGGGAGCTGAGACTGTCATTTCTTCCACTGTTTCAATTACAATACCTACTACAACTCAGTTTACTTCTGCTGCTTCAATTCCTCCCAGAGTCACCCGAAGTATGTACCCCTTTTTCATTTTCTCTAACCTCCCCACATAATGCTTGCTATCTTATCTCTAATCCTTCTTCTATGAAGGTGGTCAACAACAAAAGAAGAAGAGACTCCTTGAGCTAGAAAAGGAAAAAACTGAGCTTCCAGAGACAGAAGAAGAAGAAGAAGATCAAGAACAGGAGTCTCCCTTGAAAAGAAGCAAAAGAGTACCTCAATTGGCTCAAGAGGAGACGGCCGCTAAGAAGGTAGAGGAGGAGCTCATTTTTGAAAAGTCTGGACCCCAACCTAAAGAGGTCGAGAAGACAATGGAGGAGCGAATGATACCAATTCAAAGGAAAAGGAGAAGAAAAATTACTGTTTCTCCTTCCGATTTTACTGAAGATTCTGATTCCGAGACAATTGCCCAAGTAATAGAAAAGAGGAGGAAGGTTACTGCTTTAGCTACCAGCTCGTTTGAAGATCCCATCCATGAGGTTGTAGAACAAGAATATCCCAAAGCCATAGTTGTTCTTGAAAGAGCTGAAAGAGCTGAGGAGAGGCAGCAGCAACAATTCCTTGGGACACTGGAACAAGTAATTTTCTTCATGCCTTTATTCTTTTCTTGTCGATTCTTCAAGACTGAGACTTGGCACTACCTCACATTTTCTTCTTTTTGTAGCAATGACCACTGCATTCATCTTTCCAGCGAGACCTTCCCCAATTTCAGTTGAAGTTGACCAGATGCAACGCGTGAAAACCATTCAAATCATGCTCCCACTTCCTAAGCCTATATTCAATACATATTTTCCGAGTCCAAGTATCCCTGCATCTCTTTTCCTTGGCTTAGAGCCATATCTCCCTTTCTCGACTCTTGATCTGCCTCAGTTTGCTTCTTCGATCCTCGCTCTTCCTCCTACTGCTACTTCATCTCACATGGCAGTTGATTCTCCTTCAGAGGGTGCTGATAGTTCCCCAACTCTTGGTTCATCATCTTTACCCACTTCCAGCCCCTCTTCACTTGATTCATTGGTGGTTAAGACCATAGAGGCTGCCAGAAATGCTTCACCTATTTCTCATGTTCCCCTGCAGTCCTCTGTGCTTTTCACCACAACACTTTCTGCATCCCTCATGTCTATGGATGAGGTAGACATTTTCGAAGCCAAACTGGCTAGTTTCTCCGACACACCCCCTACCTCTCCATCATTTAATGCCGAAGCTGAGCCATTAGTCTTGGCTGACTCCTTGTTGGAAATTTTTGAGAGTTCTTCCTCTAGCAGCAAGCCTTTTGCACCTTTGATAGATATGGGCACATGCCTAGAACTGCTAATTTCTTTCTCAAGAATTCCCTTCGAGGCTCTGCAAAGGCCAATAATCAGAGATGGGTTCCTTCAATGTTGCAAAATCGCTGAGCAATCCGGTATGAAAGTTTCAAGTTATCTATCTCAGGCAGCAGCTACTGTTGACTTCTATCTCAACATTTGTCATGCTGCTAAGGCTGCAGACGAGAAACTGGCTAAGGAGCAGAGTTTTGTTTCTCAAGTGCATACTGAAGTATCAGATCTCAAGGAACAGCACTCTTCTGCTTCTCAATTTCGAATTCAGCTGCTGGAGAAGAAAGCCCAACTTGAAGAGGAGCTAGCTGTAGTAAACCAGGCCTTGGTTCGAACCGATACCAAATTGCACATCATCAATCAAGAGTTGACTGATCGAAAAGGAGACATGGCTGCAGCTATCCAATTATTTCCGTTACTTAGCAATAGAAAGTCTACTGTACAAAAACAATTAAGACATTGTAATGATTTCTGGGCCAATCTGTGGCACAACGTATTTAATTCTTTATAAAAGAACAAATCTTGTGCATCATTCGAATAGCCTTGTGTTTTTGTATTATCCTATCCCTTGTGTTTCCCAAATGGTTGGAAAATAAGGTTTCAGATACCGGCCATTAATCTTTTTGGGATGTACATAACCATTTAAATTTCTTAAATGATATGCTCCAAAAGGCAAAACTCTATGAATTTGATATGGCCCTTCCTAGTTAGGTAACCATTTGCCAAACTTATGGCTTTTAATTCCTATTGGGAGTATTGTTTTCCATACCAAATCACCTTCATCAAAGCCAATGCGTTTAACTTTCTTGTTGTAATTCTTGGCTGCTTTCTTCTTCTGTAAAAGAATGCTATTCAAAGCCAGGATTCTGGCTTCATCTATGCCTTCTAACTCCAGACACATGCTTTGATGGTATTGCTCGGGATCTAACTGATCTTGGCATTTTACCCTCAAAGATTTAATATTAATTTCCACAGGTAACACTGCATCATGCCCATATACTAAGGCATAAGGAGTAATTCCTGTGCTTGATCTTGGGGAAGTTCTGTAAGCCCACAAAACATCCAACAGAAGGTTGTGCCAATCCCTAGGATTATCTTCCACAACCTTTTGTATACCTTTTTTCAAGGATTTATTGGATGATTCAGCTTGACCATTGGCTTGTGCATAATAAGGTGTGGAATTAACAAGACTAATTCCAAATTCTGCCACAAAAGATCTCACCATC